AACTTACACTTACTGGTTTCGTTGTTTGTCGCCACCAGAATGCCGTCCACATAGACAAGCACTAGCATAATGGTATCACCCTCAAACTTGTAGTACAAGCAAGGCTCAGTGAGTGAACGAATATAGCCATGTCCTAGCAACCAACCGTTTAACTCCGAGTTCCATTCTCGGCCAGACTGCTTCAATCCATACAATGCTTTTACAACCACGTAGACATGCCCATCGATCTTACACGGAAACCCGTCGATCGACCTCAGGTATTGACGAATCCCCAGCAGTGCATTGAGATACGCAGTGTTAATGTCAGCTCCATACAATTTCAGTTGCAATGTTGCAGCAAGCGCTACCATCAACCGAAACGACGACATGCGAGCCACCGGAGAGAACGTTTCAACAAAATCGATTCCAGGTCTCTGGTGATTTCCAAATGCTACAATCCGAGCTTTGAATCGAATCACGTAGCCTTGGTGATCCTATTTTACTGCATATACCCAGCGAGTATAGATTGGCTTGGCGTTAGGTGGTACATCAGTACCCGGTATCTCCTGAATCACCCCTTTAGCCTCCAGTGCAGCCATTTCTTCAAGCTCGGCTTCACGCCAGAAGTCCTTGAATTTCGATCGCTCTGCTTCTCGGTGGTTCCTGGGAATCGTCATGCTGCTTGCCCGTATAGGTCTTCCGTTCTTGTCAAGAACACGCGAGGTACTCTGCACTACATTTGCAACGTAGTCGTTCAAATAGCTCGGACCTCGACGCTTGCTTAGCTCACGCTATCCACATCTGGTTCGCTTAGGCTTTTGCTTCGCAGCTTCTTGCTCCACCCGATGCTCCTCCGATTGATTCTCCTCACAGTGTGTGCGCTTCCCTGTTTGTCTTGTAGGAGAAGCGCGCTTGCATCAATCGTTTCATGCTCGAATCGAATGTCTTCGACCTCGTTATCTTCGTCACACAAATCCATCGAGCCACAAATACTGGCCACAGTCACATCTTGGTCAGCCTCATCGTTTTCATTACCTTCTTCGGAGTCATTGCCTGCTTCAGCAACTTCAGACTCAGTAACTGACCCACTCACACCAATAATGGACTCTCGCTCATCATCGTGTATACTTTCGCCAGCTTGAGACGCCTTTGACGAAGTATCAACTCCACTTTGTCGCTCGTTATCCTCCTTTTGACTCTCAACTGTGGCGTAAGACTTTGTCTTAATCTCTTCTGATTCCAGGTTTTGGGATCTGTTCGCCTCCAAGATCGGTACAGTAACGCCATCCAATTTTGTCAAGTCACCGACACTTGCCCCACTCATTATGGTCATGTCTACAGCACTTGTCATCGGACGGACGCCAACACCAGACTCACATGTACCAACAGCATTAATCTTCTCGCCTCCCTCGAGACAACGGGATTGAAAATCCACTGTCTCGACTTCACCACTCGATAACTGCTCGGTGTCTGCGATAGTCGTCGATCCACTGCTGCTTTGCATTATTCCGGGCTCAGAGACGTCCTCGTCTCGCTCAAAATGCAATGACTCCAGATCTGCGTCTGTCAATTCAACACCGTGGCGGTCTCGGTACATTACATCTTCAGTTACTCTTAGTCGGGAACAAACTTGGCAGTGGGCTCTTAAGGAAAGTACACTTTGCATCCGATAACATCTTCAGCATTTCCGAGAACGAACCCAATTTTGGCATTGTCGTGGTGTTTGCGACGACCAGGAGTAATCGGTATATGGACGTAAGCCAAATCACCAAGCTTGCGGATGTTGTGAACGTCAGGTTTGACCCCGAACATCATTTTAAAAGGAATTCCTTGAGCTCCCTTATTATACACCAGATTCTTGATGTACACAGCGTTCTTCAGCGCTTCCGGCCACAACGACTTCGGATACCCCGCTTCGTGCATAGTCGCCTTGGTCATTTCCGATAAGTCCTCGCACATAAGTTTGGTTGAGAGCTCTTGGGACCGACCAGAACATGCTCAATGCCTTGAGCCCGATACCATTCATCCATGGCATCATTCACAAACTCTCCACCCTTGTCCGTCAATACTTGCTGAGCTTTGTGGATTCGAGTAATTACCTTTCGAACCTTGGCCTTGGTTCCAGAAACCGAGTTTCTGCCAGCTTGCCTCTCAGCCCACAAGATGTACTCCTTCATGCGCTTGTTGACGACTTTGCTGTCTTTGCCAGTCAACATGTGCACCGTAAGGAATCTAGAATACCCATCCATTATCACAAGAGCTGCCTCAAACCGAGTTCCGTTCCCTTTACTGGGTATCAGCAAGTCTGCATACACGACTTGGTTCGGAGTCTTCAATCCTCTGTCCAGTTTCTTACGAAGTCGCTTCTTCTTCTGTTTACCAATGTGGCAAGCATCACATATTTCTTCTTTCTGACGCGGCGTCAACATCATGCCCTTTTCCATGTCCTTGTCAGACATAGTCTTCAAGTACTGCGGGCAAATATGTCCTAGACGCTCATGCCACAATCTCAGCGAAGCAACTCCTTCAACTGCAGTAACATTTGCCATCGGCTGATCTTGAGTACTCACTGTGACATATCCTTCAGTTGAACCCGTCACATGAAACCCCCATGTAGCTTCGTTACGTGTAGCCACAATCACAGTCCTGCCTTCCTTTTTCACCAAGAAGGTCCTTGTTTGACGGTCATATTCTTTGTTCTGCAGCCAGACCGGACGACAGTAGACCGTACTCAGCGCCAGGTACGTAAATCACATCTTACAGATGTACTACTAGCCGTTCTCCGTTGACTTCAGTTGCTAAAGCCACCGTTCCAACACCAGCAATACGTGAAGCCAGCGCTGGAGTAACCCCGTGCACACTCTGTGTCAGACTGCTATCTTCAGTGAACTCCACGTAGTACGCCCGATTTCCAGTTACATGAGCATTTGCAGCAGTATCAAAATACCACCAGTCGCTACCTGTATTCCCCTGGTCTACAAACGGGATTATGTGCAGGCCTCTTGACTCTAGATTTTCGTCACCGTCATGCGAATGTTCATCATCATTCATGATCTGTGCCTCAACACCAGCGTCTATCATGATTTTATCCATCTCACCAGCTACGACTCCGTGAGTTTCAGCATCTGGGTCGATAGGCAAAGGTGGTTGATGAATTGTCAAATTTCCACGTGGTTTCCGCTTTTGCTCAATGTCATCAGCTCCAGCACCACTTACAGGTTTTGTCTTGTCCGGACAATCATTCCTTAGGTGATCTTGCTCCCACAGATGTAGCACTTCTTTTGCTTCTTCTTCAGATCAGTGACCTTCCCTTGTTGTTGAATGGTTTCTTTGTCCTTAGCACCACCAATGTTTCCCCCGTTCTTTGATCCTCCGCGATAACCTCCTCCGCCCTTGGGTTTGTATGCTTTTTGGCGAGAATCGGCAATGCGAATCAATTCGCGGGCACGTTCCGGTGATGTATTTTCAGCTCCAGAGTTGTAGCGAATGCCAGACTTCAAACTCTCGAACTCATATTGACTTGGGAGACTACCTAGCATAATCTCAACCATTTCAATATCTTCCACAGTATACTACAGGGAAGATAATTCAGTTCGTAAGTTGAACATCTTGCTCAAGTGTCCGTTAACATCTCCACCTGGTGACAGCTTCATGCTCTCCAACTCAGTGCGTAGACATCTTGTCCTGTGAGCCATGGTCGTCTTGTTCCCCGTGAACTCATAGATCTCGCACAACGCTTTCCACATTGCTGTTCCAGTGGTGCTGTCCCTCACTTGGTGTAACTTGTCCGCGGGCAGCGACATCCCTATCAACTGCATGATAGTCACTTGGTTGTCGTCGAGCTCTATCTCTTTCTCCGCACTTGTTAGGCTCGACCTGGCGATCGTTCCTTCTACCATTTCGGTGCGTTTCTTCTTCTTCTTAAAGACGAGTCTTATTGCCCATTTGTACTGCTGCCAGTCTTTCCCGTTCCAATTCTTCGGAACGCCTTCGTTTGTATACTTTAATGGCTCCGTCATCTTGAATCACTACCCGTGCAGCAAGAAGTTCGTACTTTGGGCTCAGAACCCTCTTGTTGTTTGCACTGGATCCGTAGGCAGCCTTTGCACACCAAAGAGGAAAATGGAAAGTAAATAGATTAGATCGTTTAGCACTTGAGGACTCTGCAAACTCCCTCGTGCTCCTACAACCAATAAACGGGTTCAAGCCCGCTTCTTATACAGAGGCCCGTGTCTCTCAGTTTCTCGAAGCTTCTCTCTTAGTTCGTCTTACGTTGTGCACGGGTCTCGGACCTGGTCTTCAACTGCATTGTCGTCAGGTCTCCAATATGCATTCCAACACTTTCCGAGATACACTCAAGACCGTTAACTGCTACTACCTGTACTTTAGCCCTTCGAGAAACCAGTCAGCTAACAGAGTTATGCGGTTGGCGTGAACCTCTTTTTCTACTCGTGGTAACGCTTGATCTCCTAATATGTTAGTTAGCTTCATCTCCTTTCATGGCGACATCGACGCACCCTAGTCGACGCCGAGCTGGGGCGTGAACATTCACACAAGATATCAGAATCTAATTGTTTGACAGGGTTCGTAGCGATGTAGAAAATGTCATCTTCTGGTGCTGCACTGTTAGATATGTGGTGATTATTTTAAAGGCTTCGTCATTGAATAAAATCATACTTCGAAGTACTAATTATGCCATGGATTGGCCAATTTTATTTTCCATGGTCAGATCTTGCAGAAATAAATTTCAGAGAAGCTAGGCATCTTCTAGGTTAGGAAGACGGTGTAGCGACATTGGTTGACAAATACTACTTAAAGTACTCTACAGTAGTAGATCAGACTGCACAATTCATAAAGACAAACAGGAGAGACGGCATTCACGCTTCGTCAAAATCCGATTCGTTGTTTAAGTTCGGCACCTTGAGTCCCCTGACTTGTTTCACAGAGTTATACATGGAGATGCAAGTCTAGACATTTGACTCTGGCCGAAGTTGCTTGTGTGTAGCACTCGCCCAAATCCATTACAGGCCATCGAAAACACTAGCGCTGGACATTGAAGCCGAGGTATCACCCCGCTGCACATCTTGGAGAATGTTGTATAGCAGCGCAAGTGAGGCAGCGCCCTGAGGGGCGTCACTCTTCCAGTTACCATCGGTGTTCGCTCCAAGCTCACCGAACAGCTCCAACACAGCTCCATCGGGCATTTTGAGAAAGTGACGATGTAGTTCTCGAGTACCGTCAAACTCCACATTGTACACAGCCACGTGAGTGTTTGTTTCGCGGAACAGTGGATCAAGCGGATCAGACAACGCGTATTCATGGACAAATACCTTTCGCTGTGTGCCACGTGGGCCTTTCCAGCGTGTGACCTGAGCACAGATCGTCTGCAACTCCTGGAGAGATATTTCAGCGTCGTGTGGAACGAAGAAGGCATCTTCGTGACCATGCACTCGTCGGTACACGTCGAGCATTCGGCCGTTCATGTGAACGTACAGCAGATAGACGTAGAGTGCCAAGAGAGATAAACACGTAAGCGCCAGGTACAAGATGAGGACTATAAAGATGCCCACCAACCCACTACCCTCTTGCGCCTGGAACCGCACATATAGCTTGAACCAGTCACCGTTGACACAGGAGCACCCGGATGCTGTCAGTGACACAGAGCATTCGCTCAGTTGTGAACATCCGTAGTGGTGTGACAGCACATCGACAAAAAGTATGAGAAATGGGTCTAGCACGGTTGCAATTCCGGCACAAACAACGAAGTTAGACCCGAACGACGGCAGATCGCCCACATAGCGTTGACCAAGAGCAGCAGAACCGGAGAGGAAGCCGAACATCATCGTGTTGCCTAGAACTCCCAACGAAAGCAGACCGATCTCCGTGTGGGTAGCCACGGTTTGCCACGTATACTTTACAATGCACGTCGTCCATCGCGGCTGGAAGTCGTAAACGGGGATACGGTTGCCCCGTAGAAAGAGCCACTGGGTGACGTAGTGAACGTATAAACGTATCCAACACGCGAACATTAGCATAGCAACGAGTCGCCAGAACTCGAGTGTATGCCAGTTTGAGAAGCCTAGATCGACCAGCAGTTCGTGACGCAAGTAGTGTAGCTTCCGTTGAGCATGGAACCGCTTATGACGCGCCGTCTCCATGGACGCTGCGGCATTCACAGAGTACGTGTAGTTCTCCACATCCAGCGGCTGATGTCGTCTTAAAGTTGTGCTCTCCAGAACCTCCAAGTCTTCGTCAATGCTTTCAGATAGTTGCGATCTGTCCAATCCTAGCTGGTGACTGCTTGTCTTATTTCTTAAAACTGGTTCACGTTCGTCGTCGTCGTGATGTTCACCCTGGAGTGGGGTTGTTTTATGAGATAGAGTTCGGTTCTGTTGCATCGCGATCACGTCACCTGACTATCACATTGATAACACAATCGTTAAACATGTCACACGAGCCACAGAAAGGCACTTCTACGTACGTAGACACGAGTCTTCTTGGTCGGATGAAAACCTGCGAGCCAACGCTTCCACTTCCACCGCGTTGAGGACAAAAATCGCGGCGGAGGAGGTTTCGCTTTGTTCTTTTTGGGGTAAATGGACGTAGCATCGTCTTTGTCAACCAGACGCGGTGAAGTGGACGAGTAAGGACTCACGACAGCACCGCCATCGTGTTGACCACTGTTGTTCATGTGTGTACCTTGATCGTTTTCTTGTTGCAAAATATTATCTCGCATTAACCCATCATTGCTGTTGTGGCGATCAGTGGATATCGACCGCTTTCGAATTGCTGCGGAGTTTGACGTCGCAGTGGACATTTTACGCATGTATCGTTGATGATTGTTTTCCACCTCGGGAACAATCAGTCGCACTAATTCTCCACGTTCGTCAATCTCCGCGTCATATGAGTCATCACCTTCGGGTCGACGTCGATGTTGCAACACAGCTGGAGGTTTGGGCAGGTGGTATACTTGGATATAGAAATTGCAGAGCCACGAGGATAAGTCGGTTTGGTACATTTTCTCCATGTCCTTGTACTTATCCATCGTATGGTCCATTTCGCCACGTAATAGTGGCAGCTTGAATTTACCCTGTACGACCTGAAATTCTGGAGTTGAGAGTGGCAAGGCCCCCCAAGCGACAACGTGATCGGTTTGCATTGCCATTGCATGGTCCATAAACTGACCTCCTCCACGTCTTCTCCTAGGTCTAGACGCTGCATTGGCCCCCGCATAGGCGGCTGAGGTAGTTTGGGAAAGCATGAACAGCTCAAACACCAGAGTGTTACCTGGTCGAAGCTCGACTTCTGGTGGACAGACCACAAACATGTCTTGATTTACTACCACCTCCGTATTGTAGAAGCGGCCGCGGTGGTGGAACGGCCGCGTGAAGTTTGGGCGACCTACGTGTGTGCGTCTGGACTTGGTGTCACTGGTAGTTGCAGCGTTTGAGGGCACTTCAGGATCCCAGTTCGTCCAGTGTAGTGCATGGCCACCCAGACGATCGTACAGCGTTGCTACCATAACGTACTGACCAGGCGGTAGTTTATCTTTCACAGCGTTGAGCATTCTACCTCGAATGCGAATTGTTAAGGGGATTCGAGACCATTCAACGCGGTACCGTTTACGGCTTTGTGGGACGCGTGAAGGTGCCAGCGATCCGTAGAGCTGTTCTACTCTTGCCTCCTGTTTCTTAAGCGTATCTGTTAAGTGCGACTCAGCCTGTTGGAAAACGTGACCGATTCTTCGTGCACGAAACTTCATAGCCTCAGCAGCTTGTCGGTCTTTCAGCACCAGCTCTGCGTGTCGTCGATGAGCTTCCTGTAGTAATCGTTCCCGAGCTAGCGCTTCTTGTTGAGCCAATCGAATCTCCCGCTGACGGTACAAACTGCTCTCTAACTCAACTTGACGTAGCTTGGCTTCCTCCACCTGCTGCTCTCTCAGCTGTACCTCTTCAATGGGCACAGCGCCGACTACCACTTCCGCATCGGGTATCACAACCTCGAATTCATCCAAATATTGCGGAATCTCTCGGTTCTTCAGCTGACTAGACAGCACGTCAATGATGGAGTGTGCATCATAATCTCGTGGGGTTCTAAGGTCCTCGAACACGTTATTACCATCGGCATCATCCCACAACGAGCTGTAGCTGCCTTCCAAGGCACCGGACAGGTTTTCGTCCTCTCGATGGTCGTTGTCTTCCTCCATCACAGCACTCTGTCCATTAGTCTCTGCCTCATCTTCGCTCCCCGATTGCCGGGCGTCGCCTGGCTGCATTGAAGTGTCCGTCCTGCCTTCAGGTCATCCGCAACGTCAAACTACCGAAGGTAGCAACTGTCAGCTCAAAAATAAAACGACTTCAACACGAAATGTAGCTATTTCACGGATACATGGCTACATTTGTCTTGGAAAGCTTACTGGTTTTAACAGGTACTAATATGTTTTGTTTTCAGCCAATTAAACGCGTTGTTGGTATCGCAGTTGGTAGTCCACCACCCAAGACCATGGCGCGCGGTGCTCGGGGTGTGACGTGCCGCGAGTGCGGCTGCCTCAACTTCAGCTCGGAGCACGAAGTGTGCGATAAATGTCGCTCCAAGACATTGACGTTCCGCCCAACAGCTCGGCGGCTCGCAACCAGTAGCAGCGCCTTAAGTAATCAACGCATTGACGATTCTGATAGTCGAGTGCACTCAATTGGCAAAAAGAGGAGGTACGACGAGACTAAAACTGCCTCAAATATGAAAAACGAGGGCAAGGGTGGTGAACAGTCAACACTAACGCCACCTGCAGCCGCTGTCGCTGCCAAGAAGCAGCCGGACGTGATTGATCTCATCTCGAGCGACGAGGAGGACGATGATGTGGTGGTGCAGCAGGTTACTAAAGAAAGTTTGGAGACGATTAAAGGGGACCCAAAGAAAGAAGAGAAAGAGGACGAAGGCAGTCGCGTACTGTTCCAGAGTCGTTTATTCCCGACCGTGAAATTCACGGCGAGTGACTTCCCGTCGTTAGAAGTAGGGACACAGATGAGGAAGGAGGCGGTAGATAAGGGGCTATCACATCCACAGCCAACAGGTGGGAAGGCTCGGACTACTGTGGGGAAGAGTGAACCAGCCAAACCTTCGACGTTGTCTTCACAGCCGACGCCGGCAGTTGCTCGACCTGCGGAAAAGACGATAGATTCTAAACCAACAGAGCCAAGACCGCCGCCTATAGAAGTGAAGAAAGCGCTGACACCGAAGAACCAAAAAGAGAAGGTTGAAGAAACGAAGGCGACGAATGGAGAGAGTAAAGTGAAGGCTGCGTCTGCTGTATCAACTCCGTCTAAGGTGGAGAGAGCCAAGAAAACAAGTCAAGCGAAGAGCAAGACGGGTAGTAGTGGAGAGGAAGACCCGTTTTTCCAGTCGCGAGTGTTCGACTCTATCGTGTTCGCAGCATCGGACTTCGCCACTGTGTTCGATGGGCTGGCGGTGGCTAGACGAAGTCACCCACCGGCATCGTCGTCGTCTAACGCAGCAACTTCAACGGCTGTGGGACCAGCCGCCACTACATCAACATTGCCTGCGGGCTCTAATTCATCTGCAGTGACGGGACCTGTAAAGCCAGCAACATCAGCAGCGTCAAACGCCTTAACAGCCTCCAGCGCTGCCACGAAGACTCGTTTTGAGGTGAAAGCAGGCTCATCCAGCAAGGAGCCCCAGGCACCCAAAGCGCCAACTACTGGTACAGGATCGTCGACGTCAAACTCTAACGCGAAGGTATCTCAACCGGTATCCAAGGCAAATGTGACATCATCCGTAGTGCAACCTCCGCCCGCAAAGCCAACGCACAAGCCTTCAGTTGTGACACCACCTACCAAGACACCACCGACTCAGTCGAGACCCGCAGTAGCGACGCCCACAGCCAAAGTGCCGCTTACTCAGCCAACTCCCGCTATGGTGACACCATCAACCAAGGCGGCGTCAGCACCACTGCAATTGACCTCAAGACCTGGCGCAGCGGTGAAACCTGAACACGTAATGGCTACAATTGCACCGGCAAAGTCCTTGCCTACACCGGTGACGTCGAAATCTACCCCAGCACCGCCTGTATCTTCGAAAGTGAAGGTAAATTCTGTAGCAGAGACAGCAGCCGTGTCAACTACAATCACTCCTGCTCTTGGTGATGGCGTAGCGTCTATTGCATCGAAGGAATCCTCTACCGCAGCCGCAGCTTCTGGCCAACCTCAAGCAACCGACAGTGCTAATGTGCTCGTGCCCAAGAAAAAATACGCGGACGACGCAGCTGAGGAGAAGAAGCCAGCGTCAATTGACGTGAAGACTTACGCTGATACAGATGGAGTTGAATTTGTGAAGGTCAACGCAGCACCTCGCGAAGTTCTTCCCGTGGAACCTCCTGTGCTGGGCTATTGCAGTCCGGAATTCCTGGCGTTCATGCGTGAGTGTGGCGGTGATGACGCAGACGAAGAGGACGACCCTGAAGAGGTGAGTCGCTCCCAGTTGAAGCTCCTGGACGTGGTGGATCTCACCAACTTGAGCGACTCCGAGGATAGTGACGCAGAATCGCCAGTACACACGCCTCGTAGCGACGCTCCACACGAGAGTGTGGCAGCTGATGGCCCTGCAGGGTCAGCACTTCACTCTGCTATGGGGTCGAATGTGGCTGTGTCTGGGAAAGGAACCTGGTTCGTTCCGACGCTCCATAGTGAGCGTAAGAGATCGCAACCTGACAAGGTCATGTGTGAGCTATGCGAGGAAAAGGGATTGCCGTTCAGGTTAATATACTGCCCCACTTGCACGAAATACTACCACAAGAAGTGTGCGAATGAGAACGGAGACGAAAACACTTGCTGGAATTGTGAACTCGGGTCGATGATCGACGACAGTGAGCTGGACGCAGAGCACGCCAAGCACAACAGCGAGTACTTGGCGTATTTGAAGGCGATGCGACGCTCTCCGTCGTCTGAAGGTGACGAAGAAATGGAAGAAGAGGAAGGCGGAGACGATGGGGAACAAAACGACGACACTGCAGTCGGAGAAGAGGACGTTGAGATGGCTAGCCCTGTTGAGGGTGGAGAAGATGGCAGTACGGTCCCAAACGGGAATAACACCAAGAACCCGGGCAAGAGATGGATAGAGTTTATTGGAGACGCAACAGCTGACATCGATGCGTCGTACCTCGAGGTCACGAACCGGATCGCCGAGGAACTTCGTGATGAAGAGAAGAGTCGCTTCTACTCGCGAGGTTTTGTGTCTCGAGAGGAGTTTGAGGCGCAGATGACAGAAGTGGAGGAATATTATATCAACGAGGAAGCGCGATTGCAGCAGCTGGAGCGTGAAAAGGCTCTTGAAGCGAAGAAGGCGGCGGAAGCAAGGAAAGCCCAGGACGCAGCCGAGCAGCCAGACAACGGCGAGAAACAGTCAGCTAGCAACGAAGCCACGGAGACCTACGCACCTCCAGTACCATCTACTGTAGTTGCCCAGGATGCGAGTAACGAGGTGGCACCTCCGTCCAGTACCATAGCTCCGTTAAGTGCTCCAAACGACTCATCAGCGACAGCCACAACAACACCGACAGCAGTTGCCACAGCAAAGCCATCCACTGCGTCGCATCCAGCATCCCCAGCTGCTGCGCCGCCAATGCTTGTGCCATTGAGGAAGCCAACGGCTGCTTTTTATGCAGCATTCCGAGCCGCAGTCCCACGACCAGCACCGCCCCCTTCGAAACCCTCATAACTTGATAACCTCATACGTCGTAGTAAATGTTGAAATTTGCGTCGAATACGAACACGCCGCTACTGGCAAGTCGAACTTCGACATCAACATTTGTGCCTGCAACTTCAACTGCATTTTACCTCGTGGAAGTGACATAATGTCACTTTCGCGAGGACAGTCGTCCTGGCGCCAAAAGGCAACAAGCAAATCAAGCGAGCTTGAGAGCCGCCTCGTGTCGGGAATCGCGTCGTCTCTGTGAGTGTCTCCAGCTCCTGTGTCGTCGGCATTGCTGAGTGCACATGGTAGAGGTGCGTTTCATCTCCATTTTGATGTCTCTGCCGGCCTTTAAGGCCTCCGGATCGTCGAGTAACTGGATGGATCGACTCATACTGACGTTTTGTATTGACTTTTATCTATTCTACGCTGCAGAAGAAGGGCCCTAAACAAGCGACGCTGCTTGGCTTCTTCTCGCCGTCGAAGGCTGACCAGGAATCAGACGAGAACACAGCAGACTCAGAGCCAAAGAGCGTCGCAGCCAAGCGACCAAGATCCAGCTCAAAATCTGCTGAAAAGGAGGCGAGTGCTGTTAATACTGGTACCAATGCGGAGTGTGTGACGCAAAAGAAGGCCACACCAGTCAAACCGAAGGCGAGAGCGAAGCCTAAAGCCAAAGCTAAGGGGAAAACGAAGGCGTCGCCTAAAGCCAAAGCCAAACCGAGAAAAAGGAGGCAACCGGCACGATTCGTGTCACCTCATGCTGCCGTGAATAGTGGAGACGACGACGAAGACTTGGACGATGACGAGGATGTGTTCAACACGCCCGAAGCGAAGCGAGCGAGAGCGGAACTTGAAGCAGGCGGGGAGACTGTGCCCGCTGGAGCTTCCATCTCGGACGACGCGATAGTGGACGAGTCGGATGTTGTGGATATCAGTGGAGAGGAGGCAGCTACCGCAGCTGAGACTGTAGCGGATGCAGGTGCAGAGGACGTTGCATCTAAAGACGACGATTGTTCTGGAGACGTGGTGGATCTGATTGCTGTGGATGATGCAGCTAAACCCTCAACAGCACAGGATCAGGGCACAAAGACAAGAGGCAAGAGAGGCAATAAAGCAGCAACCAAGACGCCGACTAAGCGACAACAAAAGATGAAGGAGAAAGCTGTGGCTGAAGCCAAACCTGCCCCTGTGGAGCCTTTGGACCCGGCAATTCAGACTCGTGTGGACACATACAAGCTCAAGACTGATGAGTTGACTCGGCAGTATACAGAACTGCTGCAATCCACGCAAGAGAGCGACGCGATCATGCAAGAAATCTACGGCGCTGGACTGGATCGCGACTTGGACGTCACTTTAGACCAGAACAAAGCACAACAAGCTGTGGCGGAGACGTGGCAGAAGCTCAGAGACAGCGCACAGTGCTCCAGTCCTGCAGACGCTGCAGTGCTGCCGTCTACCATTGAATTTCCTCACGAAGTCAAGAGTTTAATCGTCAAGAACATCCAGGGGAAAGCTTCAAGTCTATCAGCCGTCACCAGTCAGCTTCTTGCCTTATTCAAGAGAGGTCTCGAGGCGGAGGACGTGGATATGGAGGCGACAGAGAGCTCACGCTCCTGCGACACACATCAACTAGACACGGCGGCCACTCTGGCGATGGAGATGGAGATCAAAATGCTCGCTCAACGCACGCCACACGGTGTGAAACCTGTGAAAGCTAATGTGTTCGAGGACACAAGTGTCGACGCGTTGTGGACGTGGGAAGTAGGCAACGTGGACAAATATTTCCCAGAGGAGGCCCAGAAGACGATCAAGCGGATGCGCAAGAACCGCAAGCGTCTGGGGCACCAACTGCGAGCTCTGGCGCGTGTTATCCAGCTGTTGCACCAGAAACCAGTGGACGAGGCCAAGGTGAGTGCTGAGGAGGCCAAGATCGGGAAGTTTGGCTTTGTGGTGGACGCCGAGCGGCAGAAAGCGAAGCAGCGCGAGACGAAAGAGCAGGAGAAGCGGAACGCTGCGGAGGAGAAGAAACGACACGAAATGGAGCGTCAACAGGCCAGGGAGGCGAAGGATGAAGAAAAGCGCAAGCGTGAACGTCAAGAGGAGGAGAAAGAGAAGGCTGCGTCGTCCAAGCGACACAAGAGGTTCATTGCGTTCTTTGGGGCCACGTCCTCGAATAACGCTGCGCGTGCCGAAGCTGCGATCGATATGACAGGCGAGCAGGACACTGAGGAAGCGAGCGACGCGGACGAAAGCGAGAGAGCCAAGATCACTCGCATGGACGTCGCTTTCGGCTTCTTGGGGCTAAGTATTGACGAGGCTACTTCCTCCCCCCCACTGCCGATCTTTTCGTCGCTAAAGGGCAAGCGCGATGCGAGCAAGAAGCAAACAGTCGAGCTGCCTCCGAATGGCTGGAGTGCTCGTCGGCATCGAGATTCGAAGCTGGGGGTAATGAAGCTGCTGCAGTTCTACGAGAACAGCCGACCGGCGTACTACGGTACCTTCAGCTCGAGAAGTCCACTATTCCATGGCGGCAGACGGCCACTCGCACATTTGGCCAAGCTCGACTACTCCGTGGACAGTGACGATGAGTGGGAAGAAGAGGAGCCTGGCGAAAGCCTCTCGGACGATGAGAATGATGGAGAGGAGTCGGATGAGGATAATTTGGACTATGGAGACCAATGGCTGGCGTACGAGGATGAGGTGGACTACATGGACGGGATGGATGCTGGAGATGACACGACAGAGCATGGGGAAGGACCGTCGTCGCCAACTAAGCACAAGCTGCCGTCACAGCTGCAGAAGAAGCGGGTGAAGGCCAAAGCCGTCAAGCCTGCGAAGCTGGAGCCTCAGATCCTTGGCCCGTTGTGGTGGGCTGATGAAGACAGTAAGGATCACGTTCATGGGCTTGCTGGCGAGCTGTTGTGCGAGCCGATGTTCGAATCTACGTTGATGCGTAAAGCTCGGGAGTATGAAGAAGAACAGAGGCGATTGGAGGCTGCACAACAAGAGCAGCAACGGAAGAAGGAACTGCAGCAGGAACAGGAGAAGCTGAAGACTCAGAAGGACAAGGCCGACGAGGCCAAGCAGAAGGCAGACGCTGCAGTCGCTAAGCCTGCGGAGAAAACTGCGCCTGCGAAGACTGTGACGGCTCCAAAGACAACACCGTCAAAGGCCACACCTCAGAAACCCAAGACGCAGAAATCCCCAGCGAAGACTCCGGCCACCTCTTCGAGCAAGACCAAGACCGCGTCAGCTACTTCACCCTCACCGGCTAAGCCATCGGTTGCTCAGATAGATACTTTTTTCCAGAAGAAGGTGGGCCCAGTGCCGGTGCCTCCCCCCAATCCACAGCAGTCGACGCCGCAGCCGTCAGACAACCAACACAAGACGAAGGACGGCAGTGTGGAAATCATTTCGGTTGATTAACTTTACTTTGGAAGTTGGACTCGACTTTGATAAGCGATATAAGACGCTGCAACTCATTCATTACCGAAAGAAACGACGAAATATGAAGTTTTCTCTTAATGTTATTACAAAATTTAATTTTTCGAAAAGCCACTGTACTCACCGAAAACCGGTGAAAACCGATCCAAGTGTACCAGCACGTGGGTACACAACAAAAACACCATCGGAACCAAAGGTAGGCGCACCAGTCGCGTGTCTCTTCCCCCGGTCGTGTGAGGCTACCAAGCCCCCGTCAGTTCTGCTTTCCCCGCTCTCAGACCCAACAATCAGAATGAGCCTCGTGACCCGCGTGTTCGCTCCCCTCCGCTCGTCCGCCCGCGTGGCTGTGCGTAGCTTCGCCTCCACCGGCGGTATCCCCAACGACCTTGAGCACGCCGTGGGCCGTGAGCGCCAGGAACTGGATGCTGCCGAGATCGGCGTGACGCAGTTCAACCGCGACCCACTTGAGTCGGACGAGAACCAGGGCAACAGCAAGGACGATCCGATCCTCGTGCCTTCTTTCAACGACGTGCGCACAGTGGGCGTCTCCCACAATGATGCGTCGTACCTGTACTGGTTTAACATGGAGAAGGGCAAGGTGCACTACTTGCCGGAGATCGAGAAGTACTTTATGCTGTACAACCCGGAGGAGCTCGCCAAGCTCGTCAAGGAAGTGGAGGCCAAGCAGCATTAAACACCTTCGTCTCCTCGTAAAGGCAAACTCGTCCGTCGAGCACTCTCGTCTTTTTAACCCAAGCTTCAATCGGTGGAGGTGCTAGGGACAGAAAGCCAAATACTTAGTGTGACAAATGAAAACTCAACAGAAAAATGATATCTATTTTCCCTTCGTTTTGGACGTGACATTGCGGTCTGGTGGCTTACGACTCGCTCATCTGCTCCTTCCATTCTGGTGGTCTTCAGGATCTACTGTACTGCCTCCATACATAGTGGGGGGCGAATATCGGCGTGCTAGTCTAGCACTGCTAGAGGACTGACCAGTACATGTAGCGCATGAGGACGGCACTGGAGACGAGCTGAGCTCGGTTTCCGGCCAGTCCCGAGCGATGAGCTCCAAGGTGATGTTCGTCTATATTCCTTTCTGCTCCTACGACTAGTCAAAATTAAAATCATAACATGCTGAGACCGAGCCCAAGCCAGCACTCAAGCAACATTGGGCAACGGCTACGGCGCAACCTGCTGCGGCGGCTGCTGGACGAAGTACTGGAAAGATGCTGGGGCTGCTCCTTGTGGCGCGAACTGCTGTGGTAGCTGGAACGTCGTTGCCTCGATGTTGGCCGTGCGAACTGGAAGTGGCGGTAGTACGGAAGCCCCGGCTGCCGGTTCTACCTGCGGACTACCATTCAAGATCATGGCCATGGCTTCGCCGTGCTTGGCCGGAGGCTGCGCCTCTTCCGAGTTCCACGACGCATTGCTCACGCAGTCATCACTCGCAGGCGTCATGGCAGACGCCACACAAGTCGTAAGACTCAGCATGGGCCTGTCAAGCATCTGAGTCTGAGTCTGAGTCTGGTGATCCTTGAGCATCCCGTCGGCATCAAAAGGGAAGCGCCCAGCAAATTTCAATAAATATTTCTGGGCGTGCGTGCGCGTCTGCACTGCGCTACGCGTCATGACCACTTGAGCCACACGGCGCCAGTCTTTCCCGTACAGACGGATGCCCTCCAAGAAGGCGGCGTGCTCCTCGCTCGTCCAACGTCCACCTTTCGACGGACCTGAGGAGGAAGAACTCGGAGTCCCCACTGCTAAGCTCTCCATCTTGACTGTGGGTGTTACAGGGTACGACACAGAGGCGTCTTGAATGGTAGGGGGAGACAACTTAAGTGCCGCAGGAACGTGGTGAGTAGTAGTGCGCACACTCTGGCCCGGGGGTTCGCCGTACGAGGGCGGCGTCTTGGGGCGCATAGAAGTGTCTTTATTGGGGTCAGCGATAACAGACTCGCGCTTCATCTTCAAGTTGACGATCTGGTCTCGGTACTTCTCACGCTCACTGCCGTGAGCACTGAGCATCGCAGCCTCCATCGACGCGATGCTCTTCGAGAGCGACCGGATCTGGCGATGTGGCCACCTCTTGATGCCATTACGACGACAAATCTTCTTCATGAGAGTGATACAGATACCAAAGTCCTTCGCCACGTCAATGATGGGTCGGTCGAAATGGGCACGTAGCTCCTCAATGGAGATGTGCTTCGTAACTAGACTCTTGACGCGATTGCTCTCGTTGCGGAAGCGATGACTGTGGCCTGCATCGTCCGTGAAGTCGAGTTTGCTGCCTTTGGGGCCGTCAAAATTGATTTGCTGCACACGATGCACCTTACCAACACCGCCGGCCGCGGAGAGTTGACGACGGTGCGATGCTTCTTCCTCTTCATCCGAGTCGCCCATGTCTTCTCCGTCCGAGTCTGGCGACCCCGACGGCGCCGTACTGGAGAATCCCTTGCTTAAACTCGTGAGGATCATTGCTGTCTCCTCTGGGTTAAGTCCCGGAGCGTCCGACTTGGTCTCCTCCGCTTGAACGCCACAGACGCCGTCAGATTTGGCCAGCGGCTCCTCCTGCTCACCGGTCGCCGCGCGGCCCTCGGCGTCGCAAGCCATGCCCATGCTGCCTCTGCCCCAGCTTGTCTTGCTTGGTCGTTAATTGTTTCTGATGAAGAGTTCTAGTGCCTCGTCGCAGGTCCGCAATGGCGAAGGCTTCGTGTCTGCTGCATGGTGCATGTGCATGTCGTGGTCAGATGATTCCAAATGCTCGTCTACAGTTTAGGCTTCAGCTTTTGTCCCTTCAATGAGGCTCCATGAAAGAGGAGCCTGAAGGGGCACAGAGTGCTATTTTAAACTTTGCATTATCGCAGTCGCGATTAGCAAAATGTAGGGTCAGCCTACCTGTCGGTAGCTCGTTGAGCGTGTAAGTCGACTGCTGCGTCGGCTGCTGTATGTCTCTTCGGGGTCAAAAGGCGGCGTCAATGCTGCCAAACCTCTGCGACTCTCTCTCTGTGGCCTTTGGCACCAGTAGATCGACACCGATGTTCGAAATCGTCAATGCGTAGCGCAAATTGGGGGGAAGGAAGTAACACTTAAGTATAATATTGTACACTTGCTTTTAGTAAGAAGCACGCTGTTATCAAGAGTGATTGGTCATTTTTGCCGGGTATAAAACAGGTTTTATTCTCGATATTTAGGTCGTTGACTTAGAGGTTACTTCTGGAACGACCGGCACTCACACCTGTGGAGGTGTGCGTGCGCTTATATATGACATTTTCTACATGCACTGTATCGCTACGAACCCCGTCAAACAATTAGATTCTGATAGCTTGTGTAAATGTGCAAGCCGGAGCTCGGCGTCGACTAGGGTGCGTCGATGTCGCCATGAAAGGAGATGAAGCTAACTATCATATTAGGAGATCAAGCGTTACCACGAGTAGAAAAAGAGGATCACGCCAACCGCATAACTCTGTTAGCTGACTGGGCTGAAGTACAAGTAGTGAGCAGTAAGCGGTCTCGAGTGTATCTCGCAAAAGTAGCTCAGAGCTATACATGTGTACAGTAAAGAAAGTGAATTTGCTTTGGACAATTGAAAACACTCGCTCAAAATTCTGTTGATGTTGACAGGCTAAGCCATGGCGTTTGAGAGCCCTTGCACGGGCTAGAAGCAAAGGTTGCGCTCATTTTGAGCTTCTTGTGATCCGAAAATTTGCTGCCTTCACACAGCAGATCCCGTTATCGATCCCGTAGCGTGATTTACGGCAACACTTGTACGAATTGTCTCCAGGGCGTTGAACAGAGTCACAGCCGAGTTTGGGACAACGCACAGTTCTGGCACTAGGCTACCAATAAACTGCATTTTGTGTTGCTACTATTGAGCTCAACGCTACATCCACCGCAACTCCATCCAAGCTTTATACCTCAGAGCAGTATTAACCATTGTCGACTTACTTAAAAGTAATATTTTAATTGCTATAAAATAGTTTGCACCTCTCGTACATGTAAAAACTCAAAATCCATGTTTCGTCGCTCACGGTGTGACTCATCAAATTCACTAGGCACCCGATTTAACTATTAATACATGTACAGTACCCGTGCTGACCTCTCATCACACGCTCTGTTTGTCTGGCTTGCGTTATCATGCAATTGTCTTTGACGACCAAGGCTTCAAGCGGGACTGCGTCTCCACCTTCGATCTGGATTTCTGCGCCTACGTAGTGCATTTATCTGCGGACTTCAAGCCCGCTCCTGTATAAGAGAAGCTTGGATCGCGCTACAACTTGCAGCGCAAGCTGTCCTTGTTCCAGACGGAGATTTGATGTGCAGGTGCTGAGACTTGCGTTCAATATGTCAAATCAGATTGGCTCCGTGGCTGTGCAGCGCTACGTTTGACGATCTTTGAGTAGGGCTCCTCGCAATCGAAGCGTCATTCCTCAAGTTCCTGCGTCGCGCGCACATCGAACCCTCCATGCGTGCTCTAACCGGACTTTACCTGTCCGCGGCGTGCTGCCTCTTCGGCCAAGCACTCGCTTGGGATCAACAACCCGATGGCTACGAGTTGATCGACGGTCCCGATGGCCCCGAGTCCGTGGACGCATGGCGTCGTGACTGGACCACCTGGAAGAAAATGGAGCTGATCACCAACCGGTACAACCCGAAAGACTCGTGCAACGTGTACAACATCCAGCAAACTCAATGGACGCAGCAGAATTTTGTGCAGACGTTTCTTATGATGAACGACCGCTCCATCTACGATCGCGAGACCCAGCAATACACGGTCGACAAGTACGTGGATGAGATGCAGAGTCGTGTTGGCCCCATTGACAGTGTGTTGATCTGGCCTGCATACCCGAACATCGGTGTGGACAACCGGAACCAATGGGATCTCCTACGAGACCTTCCCGGTGGAGTCGAGGGCGTCAAGGGCGTCATCTCTGACTTTCATCGTCGAGGTGTCCGTGTGATCATCCCGTACAATCCATGGGATATTGGAACTCGTGACGAGTCTGGACTGGAAGATATGGTACGTATGTACAACGCCGACATCACGACACTAACGGAGACGGTCCCTGAGCTTAAAGCGGACGGCTTCAACGGCGACACCATGTACGGCGTTCCCAAGTCCTTCTACAACTGTAGTAACCCTGTAGTGGCAGCTCCCGAAGGTGGTGTACCCACTGCATATCTGAGCCATAATCCGATGAGTTGGGGGTACTTCTTCGGCTATTCTCATTTCCCACCCGTGGCACGTGCCAAGTTCCTGGAGTCGAGACATATGGTGCAGATCTGTGCGCGTTGGTCTCTCGATCGAACCGCCGAGTTGCTGACTGCTTTCTTCAATGGCGCCGGGTACGTGGTGTGGGAGAATGTATGGGGTATCTGGAATGCCATGACCGAGCGTGAAGATGAGACTGCCAAGAGAATGTTTGCCATTCTACGCAAGTTTGGAACGATCGTCTCGACGGGTGAATGGACTCCGTACTACGCCATGAAGGGCGATGGGCTGTTCGCTAGTGCTTTCACTCTGAGCAGTGAGTCGCTTTACACGGTGATCAGTACTGTGCAGAAAGACATGACGTACGAAGTGCCACTCCCTACTGACCAGGCTGGCGAAGATGTTCGCATCTACGACGTTTATCATGGAGTCGAGCTGAAGAAACATTCTGGAAACAGTACGAACGGAACTGTCGTGAAGGTGACGCTGGAGCCTCGTGCGTTTGGTGCCATCTACGTCACAAAATCCAGCAACGACATGACCCAGTTTCTCAACGAGATGCAAGCAATGACCACTAAACCCCTAACTAAATACTCGACGGCAAGGAACTTGCTGCAACAGCAGCTTATCCGCAGTACCAGTAGCAATACCTCGACGTCCTCGGAAAACTCCGACGGTATGGTGCGTGTGTCTGGAGCTGCCAACTGGTGGTTCAACGTCAGCGGCGTGCAGATCGAACCCGTGTCGGCCTGGACTCCGAATTTCGCTCAATACGGAACGGGAGTGCAGTTTCCCTGGGAGAATCGTCCATGGAACAACCACTCGACGAGGCTGTTAATCCAGGATTTTCTGATCGATAAGCATCCTGTGACCAACGCAAAATATTCGGCCTTCCTCAAGGCCAGTGGCTACAGTCCCAAGTCACTGGACCGCTTTTTGCTGCACTGGGAGAACCGTCAAGGTGCTCCAGCGTCGTGGACTGTGTCTCCTTCCTTGGCACAGAGTCCTGTCGTGAATGTTGCGCTAGAGGACGCTCAAGCGTATGCCAATTTTTACAATAAGCGTCTTCCGCATGACTGGGAATGGCAGTATGTTGCTTCCAACGGTGATAATTACGATGCCTATCTGTGGGGACCTGAATTCGACAGCTCGAAGGTGCCCACGGTGTATCATGGCAAGGAGTTGCCCAAGTTGGATCCTGTGGGTTCGTACGAGAACTCTCACTCGACGAAGTTCCAAGTGGAAGATCTTGTGGGCTACGTGTGGCAGATGACAGATCAGTTTTGTGACTCTCACACGTGTGGACTTCTCCTGCGAGGAGGAAGCAGTTACCACCCCATCTCGGCTACGCATATCGACCCCAACTGGTACTTTCCTCAAGCTCTGGACGCACAGCATCATAACCGCTTCCTAATGATCAGCGAAGGCTACGATCGCTCCCCCATGGTGGGTTTTCGCTGTGCGAGAAGCATCACCCCTCCTCGCGAATTTAACATTGCTGGATGAGCGGTGCAGGGGAGAGCCACATGCAAACGGAGGAAAAAAAATGGCGAATCATTTCGTTTGTTTTATATTGCGTTCGCAGTTCCTTATGTTCGTGCAGGAAAATATTTGATAATGACAATTACGTAATTGTTACGATAAGAGTAATATCACACCACTACTTTCAAGATGCATTGCTTGTTGGTGGAGGGGTTGTCAAAGACAAGGTGCTGATGCACTCCCACCCAATTCTCAGTGTTGCTTAGCTGGGATTGGGTAGTTACATGTAGTTTTGTGAAGCATGGGCTGCAAATAATTTATGACGATTTACTGGAAATATTTTACTGAAAATTTTCATCATGACAGTAAAATAAATTATTCCATACAACTATTGCCATGTTATTTGTACTGCGCCTGTTGAGGAGGCAAACACTTGATTAGCAAACTCACCGAATAGTTTATGGACTACTAATAATTTGTGCCCCCTCCCAAGTCATCAAATTCGAAGGGGGGGGGGGTACTATTAATAACTCGTATAGGGCTTCTAATAATTTGCATTTTAAAATGGGCGATCGATACTATCGAATGACCAGTTCTGGCAGGAAATGGAGGGCGGTAGGTGCTGGACGAAGCTAACTGTAACTGTACTCACCATAATTTGGATTAAGATTTATTAGGGTAATGCTGCTTTAACGAATTGACAAACACTTCTGTAATATAGAGTCGAAGTAAAACTGCGCTGTAACAGTTTTAGTCCAGTCGGTAGAAATTAATTATAAGATCGGGCTACTAATATGTGAAAGGCTTGCATCTATTCACCAAAAACCTTTCGGGTACCAATTTGTGCAGGACTTTTAATCCGTTAGTTGGCTAAGCTACTTATCCCCAATTCTACATGAAGTACCCATTTAGTATTTCGAATAGATGGAAAACCGCCTTTTAGGAAAATTGTAATATCCAGTAAAAAATATTCTTCTTCTGCTAGAACGAGCTCTGAGCTCTTGTTGTTCTGGTATCGAAACAACTTTGGTCGCTTGTTTCTCAGACCATCCGATTCACTTCCCGCCCCTCCGAACCGGTTCAGTGAGCCGAGCACTTTTTAAAATAAATGGGAAATATAAGAGTTAATACATGTTTCTGCGAACGTTTGTAGGAAAAAAATAGATCGTCTGCGACCTGCGCTGGTAATACCGAATCTTTCCTATGATTAGTATAATAAAAACATACTTTACAGTATTAACAGCTCTACAGATGCTTGTCTCTGCTCTTTTAATTTTAAGCTTGGTCTGGTAGAACAGTTCGTGACAGGTTTTAGCTGTCCAGGATTTCCAAGGCAATCTGAATCGCTACTTCACCAACGATGCCTACTTAAGTATTCAGATTGGTAATGACGTAGAGAAAAATAGCACTTTTGTTGCCAACCTTTTATATTGAAGTGATCCTGCTCGATTTTAATTTCTACTAGAGAGTTGGACTAGTAGTGCCTAACAAGGTGGCCAAAAAATAGAAAGTAGGAAAACCTATTATGCATCGAAATACTTGGGACACGGCAGAGGAGAAGGAGGGGGGGGGGGGGCTCTGGCAGCCCTGGGAAGCCAAAGGCTTCGCACCAACTCCCTTACCATCAGCTGGGGATTTAACTTACAATTCGTAGTCATTTCCAATCAGCCGGTACGGATTTGTTGTCCTGAGCGTTTTTTTTTTAATTTTGTTTACTAATTGCTCTTACTGCTTTACATGTAGCATATTTTAGCACCTTATTTTTAAAACTAGACACGATTGCTTAATAATATTATGTTTGTTAACTATATAATTCACTTGTAAATCTATTCAGAGAGGTATTAATATTTGAGACGTGGTCACATTCAATCCGGCGAGAATTATCTCTCAAATTATCTCACAATTGCAAATTCTCAGCTGGCTCACGTGCTGCGGCGGCCCCGCCCAACTTTGGGCCATTCTCCGTCGCCGCAGTGGTGAGCGAACTGTTGCGGTTGTTACTTATCTACTTATCGACTTTTCTACAATCTGCTCATATCATCGAATACTGATCCGTGTGCGTGGTCACAGCGCTCTTGTTGATACTGAAGGTCTGTCACTGTGCAAATCTGACCATCTTGCGGTGGATGCGTCATCGATTAAGTATTACCAAACATATCCGTTGTAATATGAGCTGTGAAACACAATCTAACAGCGATTGCATGTTATGCAATGATACTGTCGAGTGCAGAGCTGGACTTGCCCAAGTTGATCTTCTAGACAACGACCTTGACGACATATCTCAGCCATGGATTTTCGATCCTCATCGTGTACACAACTGTTCTGTACAACTGACTTGTGGCTTGCTATCGCTCATCGCTACGAGGTTGGCCCCAATATCGCTGGACTCTACTACATGTTCGTGGCTCCTGTTATCCAGCTGACGCCAAAATCAAAACTCACTAGCATTGGTGTTGTTTGTACTGCACGTACTTCTGCAGATATGACTTGTTTTTTGCCGTGCAGTTCTCGTCTGGCGACTCGCTTTACGTCAAGTCTGGTTATACATTAACTAGCAATTTAATTACATAATTTCGCTATATAATAGCGCATTTGAAGAAGGTCTTCAGCAAAGCATTGAATACAGCGTAGTGCGTCACTTCAACGCCATACTGTACTGTACAGTATTGTTAGCTTGTGAGTGATCCGCTTGTTTGGATATATAGCTGTTAATTGCATTTCAAGCATTCGTCTTGTTTATGTGCCCAGATCCAAAAATCTTGTTTATTTTAATAAAGGTAACTATAAAACGTAGTATGCTTTCACTTTTGATGAAAAAAACGAGGCTTTTACAGCTTTTTTCATTTGTAAAATGTAAGAGCTCGATACCTACTTTTTTGTGCGCCACACCATGATGGGCTGTACGTACTACTACTCGTAGCACTACCAGGATTAAATCTACCAGTATCACGACCATTCAAGGTATTGTAATTGATTGAGACGCATTGCCCACTATGATGACGAGTACTTCGAGCTGGCCGGCTACAGGAATAGCGACGCGGTGCTGGGAGCGGTCCTGACGTGGGTGCATCACGTCTGGAAGGCTGTACCCGTAGTGATGGACAAGCACTAGACCTACTGAGGATAAAGTGGCAAATGCAGGAATGATGTCGAGTTACCGTAAACAAAGTCGCCTATCCAGACCGTTAAAGCAAATCACAAGTTAGTTTTCATTATTGTGACACTAACATTTTTCACTAACGTTCAGACAGGACTGGGCAAACTGCTATTCCTTACGGGCCAGCCATATTTAGTTGGACAGCAAATTTACTAAGGATAGACCGGCGTATTCATGATGTGCCCAGTCCCTTATGCATTGTCTGGGTTTATGCGGATTTAACGTTCGCTCAATTTGGAAATTGCCATGGAGGCAGCAGACGTAGTGGCAAGACTGCGGCTGCTGCAGAGTGAGGAAGACATAACATAGAGCGAAGCACAGCTACTTTTGACGAGTATGCTGACTATGGCGAAAAGGGGTGCGGGAGACCCAGTCACCCGTGATGGACTCTTTTGTCCTTCAAGGGGACAACCGGGTACTCAAATGCTGACAAACTTTGCTCAAGCTGAATTTGGCGTCTCGTGGGAGGAGGCTGAGGCTCGACTGACTGCAAGCTGTGTCGAGTATGGGACGAGGTCAAAGAAGTCAGACCAGGCAATGTTTATGATATTAGGTATCCTACACACTATGACACGTGGGACAAGCACGTGGTTTGACTCCGACCTTAAGCCAAATACGCGAGCGTATAAGCTCTTGGAGGTGATTGAACCAATCCTGTTCGCAAAGTTTGTGAAACCAGTGACGATGACTCAGCAATGCGAAAGCAACAAGACCGTCCGCAATGACCTCTATGCCTTTTTAGCTACCGACGTCAAATTTCAACCTGCTTATTATCCAAGTATTCATTTCACTGAAAAGAAAACCCACTTCAGTGGCACGCACAAGCTGTACGGATACAAGCTTGTGTGCTCAGTCGCAAACCCTAGTGTAGTAGTGTAGCCGTTGACGTCTAGTCCCATGAGCCCGACTCAAAATTCGATTTAACAATGATGCTCAATCGTAGACCCGTACACGTGGCGCGCTTGCAGAAGACAAAAAAAGTTAAGACAGGACGATCACGAGGAAGGGGCAGCGCAACACCCTCTTGCACGGGGAGGGGGGGGGGTCGTCAACAAAATATTCAAAGGGTTGAGGCAGTGCTTCGAGCTATCGGCAATCTCGCGGAGTAGAGCTGAGCAATCAAAACATGACTCGAATCGCCTTGTCCCATCGGACCGCGTGTATGCGGAAAACCAATTCTGGGAGTGTATGTATGTTGTGGAAGGTTATGTACCTTCGTACAAGTGAAAAGAAGTGAGCTCTGAAATGATTGCGAGAACATGTTTCGCGATAATTAACTTTCACGTTAGGCGAGGACAGCCAACTGAATTACTCCGTGCTTTTACAATATCAATCGATGACCGGAGAGACCAGGGAAGGACATAAACGAAGCAAAAAAGCATACAGAATGCATACCAGCACGTCACCGAACGACGATGCCACGTTCCACACCCTACCAGCGATCCGTAGTGCACGAAGACGTCGAAACGCAGACGTCACTAGAGTTTTAACTTAATGAAAGAATTTCGAACCTTCTCTCACAGCTATCTAGATAACTAAAACGCTTTTCCATTTTTACTATTGGATCCCCGAGAAAAAGTAATATTTTGGACTGTGGGTACTATATATTACCATATACATATTCCATTAACCCATTTTGTCACTTTAAGTTGCCTTCCGCTTGACCCCTTTAGCAATCTTCCAAAAAAACTCTTTAAATTAATAACGCAATAATTTATCTCGTGTTCTAAAATAGAATTGAATTTCCGTGACAAATGTTCAGCTTTAAAATGAAATTTTTAAGTAGCTCCACAGATTTCTGTAGCTCACTAATCATAGTGTTTTGGTGAAAAGCTAATGTAAAATATGATGTTACATTTTTCATTTT